TAGGAGGTTACTCTTATCATTTTACATTGTTTACTGCAGATCACAGATATTGGAAGCAGGGGGTTAAGCTTCTGGCTAAGCCTGTAGCAGTTGGAATACAAAGATCCGAATGCACATCTGAATCAGTTTCTGCGGTAGTTGAAGCAATATTTAATCCTGCCAGCGGTGAGCTCATAATCAAACACGTTTTCTCATGATTTCTGTGTTTTTAGGAGAGCCCTTGAGTTTTGACCATTTTTTCTGGCCGTCCTTGAGTTTGATTTAATCTCTAAATTATCTTATTTTTATCCGAGTGAAATTTCCAATTACAGCTGCTAACTTGTGAAAATTCTCTGTTTTAACATTTCGGGACATGTTTGCCGAGTGCTGCTACCACTCGGGCTTATCGTATCAAAATTTAAAAAAAAAAAAAAAAAGGGACCAATAATATCTAGACTGTACATTGCATTCCTCTGATATTTATTTTTATAACTTAGGGTATTATTATTTTATTATTATAGGTTAAAACCTCAATTAGGTCCCTCTACTTTGATAAAAAGGTTTTTTTAGTTGCTCTATTGAAAAATGCTCTTTTTTGGTCCTTAAAATTTGGAATCCGGCTTATTTTTAGTTCCTTTGTTAAGTTTCGATATTAGATGACAGAAATTTAAAAAGAGAAGACCAAAAAATGGTTTTTTTTTTCTAAAGTAGAGAGATCAAATTGAAACTATTTGTAATGCCTTTTTAGTCTTTTTTTGGTCTTTTTAATTTGAAATTTCTGTGTGATATATGCAAAAGTTAATGGAAGAATTAAAAAGGGGTCGGATTTCAAATTTTAGAAACTAAAAAAGAGTTTTTTTAAATAGAGAGACTAGAAAATTTTTTTTACCAAAGTAGAAGGATCAAAATGGAGATTTAACCATTATTAAACCCGCTCACTGAAACGCTTTGGGAAAAAGCTTGTCCGCAAGAGCAAGGAAAATTACCCGTCGAATTAATACCCGAGAAACAACTATTTGTGTAACCTGAAGTCATGTTATGTTGGGTTTTTTTTTTTTTCTTGAACAGCAGTCATGCTCTGTTGGTGATAGAGGCTATTCCTCAGTTAAACTATACAATTATAAAAACAAGTTAAATTTAAAAAATTTCATTAGCAAAATAAAAAATAGTTAAATCTTAATATTTGATAATTTTTTACTAAATTAAGAAATAAATGAGGAATATATATATGCTCCTTTTAAGAAATAATATATATAATATTATGAATTTTAAAAAATAAAAAATTATTTATTAAATAATATATAATTTATATTTTAATATTTTAACTAGTTTTTTAATCTGTGCATTGCATGAAATTATTTTTATTTTTT